CTTTTTTTATTTCCATTCCTTTTATTTCTGGATCTAATATTTCTAATTAACACTTCTAGTGTTAATATAAATATAATGGGGACAATAGACATTCTTGGCTTGTGCCTTTTTTATATAGAAGTTTTCTGTCACATCCCCATTCACAATCATTTTTGCTCTCTGATTTGTGTAAATTGCCTTGATCATGTTTATAAATTTTTTGCCAAAGTCCATACACTACAAAGTCCATACACTTGCCAATTTATATTATCAAAAACTTTTTGAGCCTCTAGAAAGATCAATACCAATTGTTTTTCACAGTGTACTTCATAATATTCCAATGTATCTAAGATAATTTTCACATTATTTTTTAATTTGCCTTTTAGGTAGAAGCCCATTTTGATCAGAGTGTATAAACTCATTCAAGAATCTCTTGAGTCTTTCAGCTGTTATTGAAGCAAATACTTTGCAGTCTGCATTTAATAAAGATATCAGTCTATAATTCTTTATTTGTGTTAGATATGAGTTTCTTTTGGGATTAAAGTAATATTAGCTTCCATCCGTGTGTGTGGTATCTTGGCTACTAATAAAACTTCCATTATATACCTCTAACATTGACAAGCTTAGTGTATCTTGTAGATTTTTATAGATTTCTGCTGATAGTCCATCTGGACCTGGTGTTTTATTATTCTTTTGTCTTTTAGCCGTCTCTACTAGTTCTACTGTTGTTATTCTTTCATTTAGCATATTCTTCATCATTTCAAACACTTTTGGTAAGTTAGCTTTTTCCAAATACAGTGGAACCTCGGGTCATGCTTCTGACCACGACCAAATCAGGTGCTGACCAAAAAAATCCACTAAATGTTTCATTCTGGTTGCAAACAAATCCTCAAGTGGCGATCAAACACAGCTGCAGCGATTTTCCCTGCCACAGCGATTTCCCCTGCCGCGCCATTTTTTTTCCTACCTGCATGTGCAGTCAGTCTTGCTCCAGTCACAACCAAATCAGGTTGCGACCGAAATCCTGGAATGGATTACAGTCGTGACCCGAGATTCCACTGTATTGTGTTATTTGGTTTTTTAAATTTACCTTTTGTGGTACTTTTTATAGTTGTAGTTCAAGTTTTGGTGCTCTTCTTCTAGTGTCTTTTGGTATTATTTTTTCCTCGCTATATAGGTAATAGCTAATCCCCTAATATATGCTTTCACTGTATCCCAAACATTTTGTAATGAAGTCTCCCCTTTCCTGTTCTCTTTAAAGAAAAATCCCATTTCATTTTCCATCATCTGTATAAATTCTTTGCCTTTTAGTATAATTGGTTCAGAGTCCATCCTACTCTTCTCTTTTTTCCTTCCAAATGATTTTTATTGGATTATGGTCAGCCCATATATTTGTTTCTATTTCTATCTCTTGCACACTTGTGCTTAATTCCGCCAACATCCATATTATATCTTCTAGACCAAATTGATGTCTGTTAGATTAAATGTATATTGCTTTTTCTCTGAGTTGGTTTCTCTCCAAATATCCTGTATACATATTTCTTCCGCCATCTTAAAGAAAGTTCTAAATAAGGACTTCCTTGTTTTTTTACTTTTACTTTTATAGTCAGATTTGTATCAACTATTGCATTAAAGTCTCCTATGAGACAAATATTTTCATATTCTATTTCAAGTATCTTCTTGTGAAGTTTTTAATAAAATTCTTCCTGTCCATTATTCAGCGCATATATTGCTACTAAAAATATCTGTTTTTGATTTAATGTCACTTCCACCATCAAAATTCTCCCTTCTTCACCTTTGAAAATTTGTTTAGCGTTTTTTGTTTCTTTAATATATAACACCATCTTTTGTTGCTATAATGAAGAGTATAGTTTCCTCAACTTAGGATAGTCTAATAATTTATTATGGTGCTTTTTAATATGTACTTGCTGTAAAGATATTATATCTAATTTTAATCTTTGTAATTTTGTGAATATTTTTTCCTTTTCATGAGGGAATTCATCCCATTTATATTAATTGACAGCATCTTTATTTCTTCTTGCATTGCTTTACTTATATATAGATCTTATTTTCATAATTGCTCTTATTTCTCTCTGGTCCTTTGCTCTTGCTCCTTCTTGCTCTGCTCGTTCTCTTTTCTCAACTTCACTTTCTTCTTGTATATACTTTTCTTCCGTTGTTGATTCTTCTTGATCTTTATATTCTGTTTCTCCCCTCTTCCTGTCCATCATCCATATTAAAATGATGATAATAGAATTCCATTGCTTTATCCAGTGAATCCAGTCTGTATCTTTTTTCATGCCAGCTAACTAGGTATCAGCCATCTGAAGTTTACATTGTATTTAATCATCATCATAGTCAAGAATTGGTATTGTTTCAGTAAGTCTCTTACTCTCCTAGAGACCTGTTTCAAGACTACCAGTTGTTTCCCTTTATGTTGTAGTTGTTTCCCTTTATGTTGTAGTGGTTCATCTCTTGCCTTATTAAGTATTTCATCTCTTATCGATTTTTTCATAAATCTCACATGTACTTCTTTTGGAAGCTTGTATCTCTTTGCGTAGCTCATATATGCTAAAGATTTCATCTGTCTGCCTTCATCTCCTGCTTATCAATCCCTAATGCATTTGCCAATAGCTCTTTCATTATGTCTGGTAGGTCTTCCCCTTTTCCTCTTCTATTTTCTGGAATCTTAGATAGTGGACTGCTTTTTTTGTTTCCAGCATTATCACTGGATTTTCCAACTCTTTGCTTGTGTCAATCTTTGATTTATTTCATTAACTTTTTTCTCTGCTTGTTCTGATTTCTCCTCCATTTTTTGAATTCTTTGTTCTTTTTTTTTGTTATTTGTTGAAAGTTCTCAAATTTTTCATCCAGATCTTGTATTTTTACTTCCATCTCTCCCATATCATTCTTCACCCATATCATTCTTAACTATCTCTTTTTTCATTTCGTTGTGATTTTTCGTAATGGCTTCCTGTATCGACTGAAGCATCACTTGCATTTCCTTTTGAAATGTATTTGATTTATTTTGCTGCAGCATGCTTTCTATTCATCACTGATTGGATGGACTTGAGGAGGCTGATGACAGTGTAGAAGATGCTTTCTTTCCTATGTTGGTTAAATTTGGAATACTTGTCATCTCAGCAGCTAATATTAATTCCTTGTTTCCCTTTTTCCCATCACCAGCCCCACTAACAGCCCAAAAGCTATCCACAGGTAACTCCCCAACGCTTCAATACCCCACGTGGCAAATAAGAAAGGACCAGATCACAAGTCCAATTCCTCAATTCCAACCAATCTTTGGGGACATAAGTTGTTCTATCTTGTCTTTTGTCAATTAGTATTTGTAATGCATAAGGCTCACTGAGCCCCCCAGCCTTTAGTTTTCCAATAATCCAAGATATCAAGCTAGTCCCGAGGTCTTTTCCCAGGTTCTCAAAACAGGTTCATGTTGTTCCACTATTTCCATCAGTCAGTCAGAGATATTTATAATCCACAAAAGTTCAAAAGGGATTCTTCACTGTAACCACCAACTGTCTTGTTCTTCCCAGGTTAGTTTCCAGAATGAATTCTGTCTTCAATCTATCTCTAAACACCAGGTGCAGCAGTTCCCAAAACAAAGTGTTTAAATTCAGTCTCTTACCTAACTTAGTCACTTCCAAAATATTTCCTTTGTCCTGCACTTCTTTCTCCCTATTATATGTCTTAGCCAGTAGGTGTCGCCCTTACTTTCTCCGTTTGTACCAAAAGTTTTAAAAGCCTTAAGGAGGAACTCGCTATAACCACAGGTAAAGGAAAAACAACTAAAAAAAGGAATATTGTACATATCCATATCTTAGATAGTACCTTCCATTCGCTTCTCTCTCTTTTCACACAGATTTATAATCAACTCAAAACTTTCACTCACCATTTTCCTTTGGAGGGAAGAAAGACAATTCCTTCCCTCTTTCTCCCTCTTTCTTTTTAAAAGTACTTCTGAAGAACTGAATTTAATTCTAAGTAGAAATTAGGCAATCCTTACCCATATCCAATACACTGTTTCTCTTTCTGCCTTTTCTTTCGTGCTTTCTTCGTTCCAGCTGTCACAACTCTGGTTCAGCCATTATGGCCATCTTCTCCGCCTGTCAGGAAGTTTCTCTGGATCCAGCAAAGAGACCAACGTCCACAGAGCCCTTCCTATTTTCATCACCCCTACAGGGTGACTTTGGCCCCAAGGGACTTCCAGGCAAGCAGAAATCAGCTGAGCTTCATGAAGGTCCACTAGCCACAGCCATTCCACCATGATGTCAGCACTTTCAGTTCTCTTAAGCAAAGAATCACCATGACATGGATTTCTCAAATAGGTCTATGCGTATTCACTATGACAAGGAACCTAGAACGAAAACTTAATTTTTGAAGGGCTGTATGCATATAGTCCTTGGCATTGGAAAAATTGACTTATGAACGTTTTTCACACTTATGACTATTGAAGTATCCACATGGTCACGTGATCAAAATCCAGATGCTTAGCAACTGATTCACATTTATGATTGTTGCAGTGCCCTAGGGTCATGTGATCACCTTTTGCAATCTTCTGATAAGCACAGTCAATGGGGAAGCCAGATTCACTTAACAACTGTGTTACTAATTTAACAGGTGCAGTGATTCATTTAACAAATGTGGCAAGAAAAGTCATAAAATGGGGCAAAACTCACTTAACAAATTTCTCACTAATCAAAATAAATTTTGGGCTCAACTGTGGTCATAAGTTGAGGACTACCTGTACTTAATATTTTTTAAAAATAAGCATTCTATCATTTCTAGCTGGCTAGCGTGGGCTGGCTAGGGTTGGGGAAGGAAATTTGGATTAAAATATATGCTGATGAAACCCAGTAGGAAAGTTCTTAAAGGCTTATGTCAAATAATAAGTTTTGGGAAATTAAATATTCTAGAAAGCATATTGTGATATAATGAGTTGTTGAAATTTTTTATATTAGCAGTTGAATGAATTTTGATAATTTGATTTATTTCATTCTATGCAGCCATCTTTCAACAGTTCTGGGAAACAAGTTTGACCATGGAGCAGAAGCCATTGTGCCTACTCTATTTAACCTGGTCCCTAATAGCGCCAAAGTAATGGCAACTTCTGGATGTGCAGCTATTAGATTTATTATCCGTGTGAGTATATTTCTATGTTACTTTAAAAAGTTACTGCTAATTAGGCATATAACTTAATGATTACTAATAACCAAGCATTATTTTCAGCAAAATAAACTGTACATTTGCTGTAGGTAGACAATCTTCTATGGTAATAAAAATGCTTTCTTTCAAACAAAGAAACCCCAAATACAGGTAGTCCTTGACTTACAACCACAGATGGGACCAGAATTTATGTTGTTCAGTGAGCCAAACCCCGTTTTCTGACCTTTTATCATGGTTATTAATCATTGCAGTTGAGAAGTGAATAATGGTTGCTAAACAAATGTTTGTAAGTCGAGGACCTATAGAATCAAATTTGATGAACTTAAAATGAAGGTATAGGTTAGGTAGTTCTTGAGTTGTGACAGCAACTGGAACTGTAATTTCTATTATTAAGTGATGCGGTCAAAAACTGTGATGTCACATCCCCACATTGTTAAGTGACAGCAATCCCTGTAGTCTCCATTGCTGTCATTAAGTGAGGATAATGGGTTGCTAAGGGAGTACTTGAGCCATGGTGGCACAGTAATTTGAAGGCAGTAGTGCAGGCTACTTCTGCTGACTGCCTAATGCCAGCAGTTCACCAACTCAAGGTGGACCCAGTCTTCCATCCTTCCAAGGTTGGTAAAATGAGGACCCAGATTGTTGAGGGCAATATGCTGACTCTGTAAACCACTTAGATAGGGCTGTATAGCACTGGGAAACTGTATATAAGTCTAAGTGCTATTGCTCTTTCTTCACAACTTCCTCCCAGCTTCCAACAACTAGAGTCAGTGGGAAAGCTGGCAGGAAGCTGCAAGTCCAGAAACCTTGCAAACAAGCAGGCAGGTGAATGAGAACCTGATGTCAGATGGAAGAGGGAGCAAGGGAGTGCACAGGTGGACAGGAAGATTCAGTATAAGTACAGTGGAGCTTGGGATGGCTGTTGCTGGTCAGCAAAAGTGTGCAAATGGTGCAGCATGAGTTGGAGAAGGGCATGAGGGATGTATGAGAGCTGGAAGTTTGGAAGGCTGCCCAGAAGTCTATAAGAGGCAAGGTGTAATTTGGGGAAGAGACCATGTAGATCATGGAGAGTGCTGGAAGGTGTGCAAGAGGTACCACGTGGGTTGGAGACAGTGCAAGGAAATATACAAATGGTTGATGCAAGCACAAAGGAGTTGAGGAAGATGTGCAGCTGAGGTAGACTTATCCCAGTGACTTGCAAAATTTTCTGCCAGCTTCTCCATTCGATTTCTGGAGGAACCAGAATGGAAGGTTGTAAATGGCAATTACATAATCACAGGACATTTGTCCACCAGGTGTAAATGCAGACAGGTTGCCATGCCCAGATCACAATAACATCCCATGATTGAGGGACACTGGGACAGAACATCAGGGACTATGATAACAATCATATAGTCAGTGCTGTTATAACTTGGAACAATTGCTGCTACAAATGGTTATAGGTTCAGAATTACTTGTAGTTTACATTAAGTGTGATGTCAATGAAGGTATGCATGGAAGTCCCAGTCCCCTCGTAATTTGCTGATTAGATTTCAATTGACTGTTTCTGCTTAAGGAAACATTCACCCGGTAGAAATAAGAAGAGTAGTATAGGAAATGCTATTTCATAGGTACATTAAATGTGGAATTAATTGTCAACATCTATAATTACAGTCTTCAGCTAGTAATTAGGGTTAATACTGGTATTTAGAGTTAGACTGGTACTTAGATTTAAAATGTATTAACCTTCTTCCACTGGAGAAGGAAATGGCAACCCACTCCAGTATCTTTGCCATGAAAACCCCATGGACATTACCAAAAAGCAAAAAAATATGACACCGGAAGATGAGTTCCTTAGGTCGGAAGGTGTCCAATATGCTACTGGGGAAGAACAAAGTACTAGTAGCACCAGAAAGAATGAAGCGACTGGATCAAAGCCAAAAGGACACTCAGCTGTGGATGTATCTGGTGGTGGAAAGTCCGATGCTGTAAAGATCTATACTCCATAGGAACCTGGAATGTAAGATCCATGAATCAAGGCAAGCTTGGATGTGGTCAAATGAGATGACAAGGCTGAACATTGACATCTTAGGAATCAGCACACTAAAATGGACAGGAATGGGTGAATTTAATTCAGATTACCATCAGATATACTACTGCAGGCAAGAATCCCTCAGAAGAAATGGGGTAGCCTTCATAGTCAATAAAAGAGAAAGCAGTACTGGGATACAATCTCCCAAATGACAGAATGATCTCAGTTCAAATCCAAGGCAAACCATTCAACATCACAGTAGTCCAAGTCTATGCCCCAACCACTGGTGCTGAAGAGGATGAAGTTGACCGGTCTATGAAGCCCTACAACATCTTCTAGAATTAACACCAAAAAAGATGTCCTTATCATCATGGAGGATTGGAATGGTAAAGTAGGAAGCCAAAATAACCAGAATAGCAGGTAAGTTTGGCCTTGGAGCACAAAATGAAGCAGGGCACAGGCTGGTAGAGTTTTGTCAAGAGAATACAATGGTCATAACAAACATATTCTCCTTTTCAACAACCCAAGAGACGACTCTACACATGGACATCACCAGATGGTCAACACAGAAATTAGATTGACTATGTGCTCTGCAGCCAAAGATGGAGAAACTCTATATAGTCAGTAAAAACAAGACCAGGAGCTGACTGTGGCTCAAATCATGAGCTTCTTGATGCAAAATTTAGGCTTAAATTGAAGAAAGTAGGGGAAAGCACTAGGTCATTCAGGTGTGAATTAAATCATATCCCTGATGAATATACATACAGTAGAGGTGACAAATAGAGTTAAGGAATTAGATCTGATAGACAGAGTGCCTGAAGAACTAATGGATGGAGGTTTGCAACATTGTACTAGAGGTAGCAACTAAAACCACCCCAAAGAAAAAGAAATGCAAGAAAGCAAAATGGCTATCAGAGGAAGCTTTAAAAATAGCTGAGGAAAGAAGGGAAGCGAAAGGCAAGGGAGAAAAGAAAGATACACCCAATTGAATGCAGAATTCCAGAGAATAGCTAGAAGAGATAAGAATGCCTTCTTAAATGACCAGTGCAAAGAAATAGAAGAAAACAATAGAATAGGGAGGACCAGAGATCTCTTCAAGAAAATTGGAGATATGAAGGGAACTTTTTATGCAAAGATGGGCATGATAAAGGACCAAAATGGCAAGGACCTAATAGAGGCAGAAGAGATTAAGAAGAGGTAGCAAAATTACACAGAAGAACTATACAAGAACGAGCTTAATGTCCCTGATAACCACGATGGGATGTTCACTGACCTCGAGTCAGACATCCTAGAATGTGAAGTCAAATAGGCCTAAGGAAGTCTGAGCAACAAGAAAGCTAGTGGAAGTGACAATATTCCAGCTGAGCTATTCAAAAGTTTAAAAGACGATACAGTGCAAGTGCTACACTCAATTTGCCAGAAAATTAGGAAAATTCAACAATGGCCACAGGATTGGACAATGTCAGTTTACATTCCAATTCCAAAGAAGGGCAATGCCAAAGAATCTTCAAACTACTGCACCATTACACTCATTTCACATACTAACTAAGTTATACTCAAAATCCTACAAGCTAGGCTCCAGCACTATGTGGACTGAGAAATACCAGAAGTACAGCAGGATTTCAGAGAGACAGAGGAACTAGAGATCAAATTGCCAACATATGCTGGATCATGGAGAAAGCTAATGTTGTGGCCCGCCAGCGGCCAGCAGAGCTGGTGGCAGACTCAGATAGTGAAGAGATTGTGGGGGAACATGGGCCAGTCCTGGAGTCTGGGGAAGTGATAAGTGATAAGTGCTCTGCGTCAGAGGCAGAGATGGGGCCAGGGCTGTCTGACAGTTATCAGCTGCCTTTGGAGTTGGCTATCAGTGGGGGCAGAAGAACAGCTGGAGCCTGTTCCCAATGTGCGCATGCGTAGAGCTACCAGGAGAAGGGAACAGTTAAGGAACAAGGGTCGACTCGGGAGTAGAGCCACAGGTGGACAGTGAATGGCCCCTCCTATAGGGAACAAAGAGGAGCAAAAGGGGAATGATGTTTGCAGGAGACAATTAGTTCATTTAATTAGTGTGAAATTTGTTTGTGACTTTCAGAGATTCCTTGCCAAGTATTTTCTTGTATAGCATTGCACTTGGAAGCTATCGGCCTAGCAATTCTCCAAGCCTGATAAAGTTTGTGGTTGCAATTTATCCTTGAAAGACTGTTTGCCAGGACTTTGCTAGATGTGAATGATAGGAATTCACATCAGTCTAATAAAAAGGGGTTTTGTTGGGACAAGGAGTCTGTTTTGTAATTTTGTGAAGCCTAGGTCTGAACAGCAAGGAATTCCAGAAAAACATCTACTTCTGCTTCATTGACTACATTAAAGCCTTTGATTGTGTGGATCACAACAAATTGTGGCAAGTTCTTAAAAGCGATGAGAGTACTAGACCATCTTATTTGTTTCTTGAGAAACCTATATGCGGGTCAAGAAGAAATAGTGAGAACTGGACATGGAACCACTGTGGTTCAAAATTGAGAAGGAATTTGTGAAGACTGTATACTGTCATCCTGCCTATTTAACTTATATGCAGAGCACATCATGAGAAAGGCGGGGCTAGATGAATCACAAATTGGAATTAAGATTGCTGGGAGAAATATCAACAACATCAGATATGTAGATTTAGTTTACTTTACTATATTGTCATTGCACCTCGTACAATAAAATTAAATACAATCTTCAGTGTACATTATGACTATGAAAATAAACACAAACACACATCCTTCACATTCTATACATTGAATTGAAAACTCCTGATATTGCATTAATATTGCACTATACAGAGGACAGGGACGTGCAGAGGTGGAGAAGACCAGCTGCGGTTTCCGAATACCTCTTCTTGTGTCTGGAGCGATCCCCAGAGGATACACGAACCCCGGAGAGGTTCGTGTCAGCATAGGGAACTCTCGGGTTGCAGTGTGGGGGAAGG